CGCCCCCACCGCCAGCCGGGAAACGCCGGCCCTCGAAACCGGACGCCTTTCTGCACGAGGAAATAAAACCCCACAAGATGAAAAGGAAGCCGCGGAATAAGGGCCAGGTCCGATCGCCGCGGCTGCTTATTCGCGTCGGCAACGAGCCGGAGACGGGGGCGCTTCCAAAAACGCCGTGTGCCGTCCGGTGGGTGAAACACCTGCATCTGTTTTGAGCTCCGGTGTTCAATCCCCTCCGCAAGACGCTCAGCCTTGACCGAAACGGGGGTAGTTTATTCCCAGACATGTCCGGGTGCCCACGAGGTGACCAACTTTAATCAAAAGCTGCTTTAACGCAGCACAGATACTTGCCTAGCTCCGTCCGCAGCGGCCGGCGGGGAGAGGCGACGGCACCGCTGCCTCGCGCCCTTCGCCGGGGGAAGCGACGACAGATGGTTTCAGCGGCTCAGGTATAAACTCAAAATAGCGGGATAACGGCAGGGCATGATGTAAAGGAAACGCCAGGTCAGCGGGAGCTGCGTGGGTCGGGGGCTATTTCCCACCCGAGCTCACCGGCGCCTGCCAGGCGTCCCCCCGACGCGAGCTTGCAGAGGAGGACGGACAGGCTTAAGCACAGATTTAAATTTGTACTTTCCAACGCATCGTTTATCAGCCTGCTCAACTTTAGACAGGAGTTTTAATCCCACAGATTGCAACAGGACTTTTGGCCCGTACTAAACCTCGGTGCAGCAGGTTTTCCCACCGCTGGAGACCCGGCGGCTGCACTGGGGCAGAGGAACCCGGCGAGGCTCAGCCCCTCAAATTAGCACGTGGAAAACTCTACAAGCATGTTTTATTTCATGTTTTCTACTGGAGGACCTGAAAACACATTGCAGTCCTTCTTTAAGTAAAGGCTCAGTACGTTGTGGGAAGACGATAGCCTATGCTGCTCCCTCCGTGTAACATCAGTGTGCTCTCTGCCTTGCAACGCCTTCCTCTACTGCGAGAAGAAAACGCCACCAATTTCTACACCTACCCCAAATTTTAGCTCCTGTAATTTATCTTTGCGTCTGTGAGCTGTTTGATCCCTCTCAATTAAACAGAACCAAAATAATTTGCCATAAAGCAAAGAGAAGGGAGAGAAGCCAGTGAAAAATGCTTTAGGGAGAGTATCAATCACTGCACAGCTGGCGGCGACGCTCTCCTGAATGCTGAAACGCAGGGTGAATTTCCTAATCTAGGCTTCGAGTAGCGACAGCTTTGCTGCAAAATAAAAGCTACATCTTGAGATCAGTCTTTGGAGCCACAGGGCTAATATTTACAGCTTTTATCTTGCATTTCCTCCCCAAATCAGTATTTGGGCTCAGGAGCTCATATGCTTTGGTTGCTGTGTGTCCCACAGAAATCGGACAGGACAGTGTGGCTCGCCGCGAGCTGCTTGTTGCCACCATGCAACACCAAGCACGTGATCCACCCACAGCCCTGCTCCGAAGGGATCTCGCTCAACTGGGGAGCAATGGGACCATCCCAGGTTTTTTCCATCCTTCCCATGGACACCAGCCACGCGTGGCACTGTCGGCCCCGGAGGAAAGCTCTGTGCAAAGGGATGCAGTGACAATCACGGCCCTTGAAATGGGCAGCAGCTTGAGGCCACCAGCATGTGCCCATGAGCGCTGGGCTCCCCTCCGTCAGGAGCTGCTGCCCCTGCCCTGGCTCCGGAGGGGGGCCGGTGATGGTCCCACCTGCAGCGTGGGAGACGAGCTGCTTAGTCTCTATCAGCAACGCACAAAAAACAGCCTGCGTGGGATATGGACGTGCCTTTCTATAGGGTATCGTTCATCACCTGTGCACCACGCTGAACCACAAATAAGCGCTCCTCGGACATGTCCCCTGCAGGGCCGCTGGCAGAGGACAGAGGCGTAATTGGAAGCAGAGGGATGACACCATGGGAAAGAAAACGCCGGGGGAGCGGGATGGCGCTTTTGCCGAGGCTGAACAGCTATGGCACCAGCACGTCCCCTCCGCACATCGCTGCGGGGCTGAAGCAGGAGCCCCAGCTCCCGGTGGGAGCAGGACCCACGCGGGTCTGCGCCCCCGACCTGCCGCCCAGGGGCGCTCCCAGGGGCATGCTCCCGGAAGTGGCAAGGCCGGGACAGTTTGGACAGGCGGCCCCGTGAGCTCTGTCCTCTCGCTCGCCCTCAAACGCTGCGCATCTTCCCGCAGCCGACGCTGCGCTGCTCTGCCTGGGCAACGCAACGAGGCGAGATCTGTATTCACAAACCTGACTCCAGGGCTGCTCCAAAAGAAGCCGTCAGAGCGCTCAGAGGAAGGCAGAAAACATTAAAGCTTCCCAATAAAGATGCTACTGCTAGTTAATTTGTCTTCATTAAGAAAAAGATATTAAAGTCTTTCTGAATGAGGGAGTAAATACCTAAATATCTGTAGCTCAGCCTTTTACTTCCTCTCCTGTAAGGCCAAAAAAATTTTTCTCCAGACTCCCAACTGCCCTGCGATGGCGATCCCAGCCCCACGCGATGCGCTGGATCACCGCTGGGGCCCGGGCAGCATGGGGAGCACCGCGGGGCCGCTTGCCCCGGGGCCGTCCACTGTGCCAAATAGGTCAGCAGTAATGACTGAAGAGCCCCGACAAGAACTCACGCTGGAACACGGCAGGGGACTGACCCAAGTTAGAACAATTAGCTGTTGTCCCAGGCCGGAGAAGGGGGACAGGTTTTTTGCTCGCCTTATTACACAGTCCCACATTGCTGTCACTTGCAATCAGCCTCCGGGCAGAAAAATCTGCTGTCTTGCAAATTTTAACGCACAAAAAGTCCCGAAATGCCCTTCCGAAACCATGATTTTAGCTTAATTAAGCTTTCTTTTTCTTTCCCCTTAACTTTTCAAACTTGTATCTTCTCTTTCTGAATGCTGCAGGATTTGCAGGCTGGGAACGCAAGATGTTTAAAAACATGAAAATAAGGACGCTGTTTACTCCTGGCCCTGAAAAGCCGCTGCCAGGAATATCTGAATTAGGAGGAAGAGCTGAAATACGTGACCGCGGCGAGCTCTGTCCGTGCACGGCCCGTCGTGGTCGCAAGCCAGGGGACCGCGCTCAGCCCGCGAGCGTCGGCTCCGGCACATCAATCATCGCAGGCAAGCACAGACCCCACAGCCAAAACGTTCCCCTTCCGTACGGTTCAGTGGACGCCAGCCCTTAAAACGTGATCGGCTTCGTGCCCGTGAAACCCGAAGAAGCTGACAGATTTCACTCCAAGTTCTTGGCGTTTTATTTGGCTTGGGTGATTAGCTAGGATTTTCTTTCCTACAAAGCATTTGGGCTATTAAACGAAACCAGATGAGACGAAAAGCCGCGCTCACCAGGCTGAACGGTTCTCAATACAGCAACACGAAGACGCCATGCAGTGAGCGGTGCTCCAGGAGGCCCTACGGCAGATCACCGTCCGCGTTTTTTGGACGTGCATCAGCTCAGCTATCGCAAGTCAGCATCGAGCAAAGGAGAACGAACGCCCAGCAGCACGTGCCGACGCAGGGGCGCGCTTCGGCGTTTGAAGCGACGGCAAGAAAACAAAGGGGAGACGTTATCCCAGCACTGCCAAACCTCACGCTCCGGGAACAGCTCTGCACGCCCAACGCTCTCCCGCTCCAGCGGGCAGCTGAGCCAAGCCCGACCCGACGCCGCACACGCTGCAACAACCGGAGCGAGGAACACAGGAGAGAGACCGGCCTCCGGACAGGAGGAGGAATTAGGAAGAAATCCTTCTGTCAAGGGCTAGCGCGGAGAGCGAGGAAACCCTCCGCCTCTAGGGCCAAGCGACCAGCGCCGCAGGCGGTCTGCTGGGGAAGCTCCTCGAAAGCAGGATGCTCCGTGCAATTACGGATGACAGATTGGCTGTCGCCTCCTTTATCCGGAAACCTGAAACGCAAACTGCGGAGCAAAAACACGTCTTCCTCTCAAAACCGCAACCAATACAACTCAACCAACTCAGCCGCTGTTTACGCAGGAGAGAGGCAAAACAGCTGCAGGAGGGAAGGGGAGGCCAGCGCCGCCGCTCGCGGCCTCAGATGTAATTCCCTTTTTTGAAAAATATTTACTTATTAATAAATAATTGAACCAGAATTATCTGGAGAGTTTAAGATATCCTTGTTCAAAGATGTCTGAAAGTGGGGTAGAATAAATGAGTTCCAAATCCCCACAGGTTACACATAAAACAGTGCAAAATATTTAAATATCACAATGCTCAACAGCTAAGTGACTGGCACCGGTGTGGAATAGAGACCCATCTTTACAACTAATTTTTAAAATATCAGGAAGATATTGATGGATATGATAGGAA